TTCTTTTTCTTAACCCAATAAAGCGAGGATAACTTGTTTGTCCACACAAGACAACAACGCACATTGATTGCCCCTTGGTAGTGTCGGTTCAAATCAAATCAACCGCGATTCGGTACAACTTAATCAATCGCTATTCGGTTCTCCTTTTAACTCAACTGTTACTCAAATCCAACATAACCTTGTCCAACTTAACACACCTCAATCGACTCCCCGCAAACAACGCGAAAGATAAATCAACCTTGGTCGAAATAATGGTATTTGGAACTCATAGACATCACCTCCAACAAATCAACGAATTTCACGACATTCACATCTCAATGGACATATTACGAGCAGTGGTGTTGCTCCTAAAAAATGCTCTGTTTTGCAAACCACACTGTTATTTACATTCCCATAAGACCGTTAGGGTATTTCTTTGTAATTCGAATTTTTGAAAATCTATTGTTACAAGAGATAAAATAACTATAAAAATTAAGCAATATTTGAAGTGCATTTGGCCATGATTTTATGTTTTCTTCTGTTGACTAATATTCGCATACATGTCAGAGTCAGCACCGTGGACAACGGATGAATTGGAACAGGCTGCGACTCAGTTTCCTTTAACATCCCTATAATCGAAAAGCGATATAATAGTAAAAAGCAATCTTCAGATTGATCACACGCACAACTCCTCCGCAGTATATTCATGAAAAAGTATAGCTTTGCAAATGTAATGTGCGTATTCTTTCAGCAATTTCAAATGCATTTTTGGATGTATTGAAATGGCAACCATCCTGAAATAAGTTTATGTATTAAATGAACACTAAAAACACTAGAATATTTCCAAAAACAAACTCAACATAGTTTCAAAGTCGTCGGTTTCTAATTATTAGCCACTGATTAAACATTCGAAATCAGTTGCTGACTGCTCGTTTACTACGCATAAACATGCAATGACTTGCAATATGATCCACAACAAAATAAAAACTGAAAAATACGGAATCGTCCTGTTCTATTAGCTCTTCTTCCTTATTCTTTATGTAAAATCCCCTTACAAAAACTTCGAATAAATTGTTTGAACCAAATTCTCACTCAAATGATAATCTTTGCCCAGAAATAAGGAATCATTTGCCGAATTGAATAAAAAGTATGCAAAATACATGGTGGAAATATAAGACAATAAGCCACTACCAACCTTGAGATACAAGAATTATCATACAAGTTCATGATAAAAACAGGGTCAACTAATATTCCTCTCTGAACAGGATGAAAAAATAACCGTATAAACAGAATAATTTAAATTATAAAAAATAGGAAAAAGACTACTCATAATGAAGGAAAAGATATAGTGCTTATTGCCATCACTTTGTCTTTATCAAATTGGTACAATTTTTACCACTCTGATTAGTGCGTTTAGATTCGAATGCTTCTATGAGATTTGCGGGGGAATCGCAGAGGAATTAAATTAAAATTTAACGTCGGAGAATCTAAACAGCAAAACAATTGCAATTTTTAGCTGTATTAAATAATTGTGACGAAATGAGTGTTCTTAATTACGAATGAATCTTTGAAACTTTTTAAAAGGAAGATCGCTTTATAGGAAAGCGATAAATGAATTATTTTTATGGAAACAATGAAATCATTAGGAAAATACAAAGCAACAGCGTCTATGATGAACAAATTACAGCAGGTAGCCAAGCAGCCGTAATTTTGACTTCCTTTAGGAATGTATAAAAAGGGATGCTGCCGAAATACTGTGCCTGTCCCTCATAGACATCCATTGCCATCAACAGCGTAGACAATAGATCTTGTTCAAACTTTCTTTTTTGCAGCAAGAAAAGCGCTTTGTCGTGCTTGGCTGGCACAGAACAGCTTGTCCACTTTTGAAGCATTCGGACATCGCGTATAGGGATTACATACTTCATGTCGTCTAAAGCATTTCGCCACATTTGTACACATATATGTAGGGAACCCATGTATTCTGCATTCTGTAATAACACAACATTGTTGTTTCCTTTATCCAACTCTTTCAACAATGATTGCTATTAAGCCGTATTGTTTCATTTGATTAACTATCATGTGCTTCAACTAACAATAACGATCCATTTACCTGCACAACTACATTTTTGTTCATCATTATCATCGGGACAGTCAGTAATACCATCACAACGCTTCATATTTCCCAAGCAAGTTTTCGTCGGCTCACAATAAATAGCATTTGGATTGATGCATTTCTCGCAATTTCTCTCATCTTCACCATCCGGACAATCCTCGTAACCGTCACAACGTTGCGTCTATAATTTATGAGAGATTTATGAGGAATCGAACTAGTGGAATTAATTTTACGATAATTAAAAACTTACAAATGGAATGCATTTAACCTTCCCACCACGAGCGTACATTTTGCACTGTATTGTACCTCCCAAACGCTTCATAGCAGTGCAGTTGCAGTTCGTTTCATCGGAATTGTCGCCACAATCGTCCAAGCCATCACATACCTTAAGTGACCGGTTTATTGTTCCTTCATTATAACTTATACCTGGAAGTTGATTCAGCTAAATAAGCCATTGATTCTGCGGCATGAGTTAAATGAATGAATAACAAACCAAGCTCCTTTTGATACATTTATGATTCTTGCAAGTGAATGCCATCTCTTCGAAACATTCACTACACTTCCCTTCACATTCATCCACTATTCCACTGCAAGCATACTTTCTGTGGTAAAGGATACCATCTCGGCATCGAATAAAATCCTTAAATGAAGTGATACGGAATTTTAACTTATAAAGGAAAATTGGTCATTCGTAATAGGAATGAATTTTCGAAATTGCAAGAAACGCATTCAGAGGTGCTATAACTAAAGAATAAAAAAGTTTTAAAAATGTTTTTTGTAGAGACCTCTTTGAAGCTATGTGCGCAGCTTCCGGGACAGTTGACTTCATCATCTCCACCAGGACAATCCTCGTTACCGTCACAAATCTGTGAACGTTCGATGCAAACATTAGTGTTGTTACACAATGCCTTCCCAATACCTGAGCATTCTCTGCACGTGCAGTCCTACAAAAATCCAAGTAAATAGTTGCAAAATACTTTGTTTATCCATACATCCTTTGCAAATAAAACTTTAATTTCAAGTTCTCTTTCATTAGTGCCAGATGATATTTTTGAGGAGTAACACCGAATTCAGCATTTGTCACACTGAATTCAAATGAAAAGTGAAATAAATGAAAGCTTGATTTTATAATTTATTTATGTTGTAAATCAAGATAACATTCCTCACCCTACCATTTCATCCCTGCCATCCGGGCAATTTCGAACTCCATCGCAAATTTGCCACTTGGGTACACACTTTTTCTTCCCTTCACACCATAATGCGCCTCCGCGACATTTGCCATCACAGTTTTTTTCATCTTCACCGTGCTTACATTGCATATCACCGTCACATCTCTGCTCGTGGGTCAAGCATATATCTGTGTTACCACACCGTACTTCGTGTTTCGAGCATTCTTTTTCTACAAAAATTAAATTTTTATTTTCTCCAGAATATATGGATAGAAAAATAAACAGTAATGTTTAAATCATGACGTATAAATGAGGATACTTACTGCAGTAGCGCTCTTCATCAGAACCATCCGGGCAGTCCACATTTCCATCACATAAACGATAACCTCGTAGACACATCGAATTTCTCGATGAGATCACTCCGTAGGTTGGACTGGAACAATTGACCGTCGTGTGACACACTAAAGTACTTTTACTAATTGAACAAAAGTTCTGATATATGTAATGAAAAAAGAGGATTTTGTTTGAGAATTTGTGCTTTTAGTAATGTGTAAAAAAAATGAAGCTATTAAAAAAGGTACATTTGCATCCAATTTCATCGCTTCCATCTGGACAATCTTCGATACCATCACAACGTTGCAATGTTCCAATGACAAGGCTCTAGTATGAAACAAATTATTTTTATTCTTTTATTCATGGATTAAGTCAGTTTCATGAGCAACTTATGACAACTTACGCCTAACTAATGAATTTTCTGATATTCTTGTGATACAATTAAAATTGTTCAATTATTAATGAATTGCAAAGAATTTCGCCGAAGAATAGCTAATTTACCGGCAAATTTGTGCATGAAAACCCATATCCCTTGCATAAGGTAACGTTCGGAGGGAGCATCGATTTGAAAGACCTGAACTGTAATGATGGGTCGGCACTAGGCCAGTTCGACTGCGCTCTAATGATCTCCATCGTTTGACTGCCATTCAAAGATGTCGACAACTAAATTGATCCATTCGATGAATAAAACTTCAGTTATTAACATTTCAAATAATGAGAAATATAAACATTCAAAATCATAAGAGTCCTTACATAACCCCGTATGATGAGCGATGCAATCAGGAACGGCAAGATGATTAAGGCAGCTAGAAGGATTAGAATACCGACTAGAAAAACAACCAGTGGCATATTATTCAGCCATTTACAACAACTAATTTCAGCCAAGTGTTCCTTCAAATTCTCGATCTTCAGAAGGAAAGCAAAGCAGCATTCCTGATTTTTACTTTCCCTGGAAATTGTTGTTATGAGTATGAAGTAACCACATGATGGAAACAATATCACTTGCAATGTTATTCTTAGATTACCAATCAGATTTGTTGACACTTCAAAGTATTAAACATTTTATGATAAGTTGCTTCAGTTCCACTTTCAATTCTTTAGTGGCAGATTAAAATAAATAATTGAAGCTTTTTCGAGAAGTGTCTCATGTAAAATTGCGCCATCAAAAAAAAGAACAAACGACTGAAGATTGTTGTAATAATTAGGCGTGAAGGATGCATTAATTTTGGGAATGAAATATATGGAATAAAAAATCGGCTGAAACATTAAAATATGCCTGCTGGACATATAAATAAGCGTACCTATCAATTCCAAGAGATCCACCAACATTATCCGGACGCTGATTATACCGCGGAGACTTACCATCCATACTTTTTATGGATACCGGACGTACTGTATTGTGTGGCTGAAGTTGCATATTGTGAGTGAGGAATCACAGCTCATTTCAAAGAATGTGGTATACATTTCGGATCTTCTACAAGCTTTTGGGTTTTTCTAATTGAACTGAAGTTAGAGAACGAACCATAGCTGGGCTATTTGGGTCGTACGAGCCTCGATGTGCGCTCATACTATTTGTTTGTGAATTGACGAGGGTTATCAATCTACAGCTAATTCCTTCTTATGGATAGTCCCTGAAAAGAACTACAACCCTAAGCATTGCATTCGAAGACTTCCTAATAGAATACCCAAACTAGAAGAAATTAGAAACCTAAGAAGAAAGAGATAACTTCACTCATATTAGGAAATTTCTAAAAATATGCGAATTACCTATAACAGACCCTAAACCGAGAAACGCAACTTGGAAAACTGGTGATAATGAGAGAATATTAAGAGAAATGCATAAGGAAGCTACCTCCCGCCTGTATAAACTACCCGAATAATGTTGTCGTCTTAGAATTTGACCTACCGAGAACCTTTTTTTTAACTGTTAATCCCGATGATAATATTCCAGTCAAATATCTCTTCTACACAATCCGTCCAGTACTCTCTCTTTTTATGTAAGAATGGATAGAACAGTCGATATATTATAAAATACACGAATGCTCATATAAAAACATTTAATACATAAAAATTTTCTACTGAATTTTAATGATTAGCTTTTCGCTTAGTAATTCTAAAGCATGAATTGCTCTTGTTAATAATTAACAGATTTGAAATTTGGTAACAGTTTTTGAATTTCAGTAAAAATCGATTTTATGTGCAGTTTTCATTAAGGTTTTTTTCCTATTAGTTTTTCTAGTATTCAGCTCAAAAATAAGATTGGATATGGATAATTTTGTATTGAAAAATAAGTGTAATTATATATATATGACTGACCACATGGTGAATGACAGTATTTATTGGTGGTACAATAGGAAATGTCCGAGAATGGAGAGGAAGACTCCTTTAAATGATATTGAATGAATGCGGTAACATTCATTTTGAATGCATAATTGCGACCTATCTTTAATAACCACTAGGTCATGCTCTCAATTTCCATATACTTTTATATATTTCATCATAAAAATCCCTTTACTTAGCCATTTCTATTCCATCTTCTTTATTGTCTCATCTTTGCTATCATTGTGAATTTGATATCTTTATAAAGACTATCCGCCATAATTTAATTACTTTTTAAAATTTAATGAATATTATTTCTTAGGATGTGTAAAAAAAGTTCGATAAAAGTGAAACCTTTTCCCATCTTTCCGCAATAATGTGACACTATATTACACTTTTCTTACACATTATAATCCAAATACATGTGCTAATGCAATCAGCTTTTCACAATACCAAGCCTGAACAATTTGTCGTAATGCGCAGTAGTAGTGGTTCAATTGTTTTTGAAAGTTTTATAAAAATTGAAAATGCCAAGACTGAATAGAATCCAGTAAATACAATCATCACATATGTCAATCGCCTTACGTATGCTAGCTAACTGAAAACTGAATTTTTTCAAATAGTTTGGTTTTAATTGTTTGTCTGTTGCAGTATCAATGTCAATACATAGTTTTCCATATGGCATCGGTAATGCAGTACTGATAAGAATTAAGTGCTGTTTCCCAGATAAAAATTTCTCCGTGATGCTGATAAACCGAAAGGTGTGGCTAACCGTAACTTTTTTTGCAAGCATGCTATCAAAAGGTTAGCAACAATTTGTTGTTAAATTATTTGCAAAAAGAAAACATGCATACAAAAATCATATCATTGTTTCCCAGGTGTGATTATGTAAATCTTTTGAAAAGAAGCTTGGCTTAAATTGATTAGTTAAGTTCTTAAATATGCGAATTACTTTCAGGAATAAGTGAAATAAACACATCAGCGGATTTGAACTGTAGCTTCGAATTAATATGTCAGTGGCGTAATGATACTATTGGAGAAGACAGTGGCGATTTCTTGATAGCACACAATATCAGGGTGGGAAACCGTTTCAATATAATTCCTTCGAAAGATAATTCAAGTGAGTCATTTTGTTTAATCTTCGCTAATATTTTCTTTATTATGATTTGAATGAAAAGAATTTCTCCAATTTGTAGCATAAGGGATACAAAAAGATAGTGATTCCTTATTCTCATCCTGTTACTGGTAATTGCACTTTTGCTCCACGTTCATTTTGAAAAACTAAAAACCGTATTCAAATCAATTTGTCAGCTTCAATGGTTTTGAAAGTTATGACGATGAAGCACTTCACGCTGCTATTTACCTTTTTCTTTTTATCGAGAAGCTAAGACGGTCAATATTTGAAAAAAAGATGTCATTTAGTATTAATAACTTACAGTAGTAGCATAATTCAGAATGTTTAGAAAATTTTCATTACAGATGAGGTATTTGCATACACACATGGACCTTTCGACGGAATGCAAAAAGCTACTTTAATAAGCGATACGATAAGGTTTGTCAGTTTATGAACAAATAGAAAAAAATTTCTTTGTTTAAAGTCAAAAGCTAAAGATTAACCCATAGTGAGCTAATAACTGTTGCAGCTGTCAGCTAGGTGGTGGCACTTTAGCGTTCTGGTATTATCGCACGGGTGATTCAGCAACGTTAGAAGTGTGTGTGCGTCAACCACCAGGAAGCTTGAACGTTGCCGATCTGAGATGCTTTCCTGTTTTCCCCAAAAATCATGCTCATCAATGGTTATTCAATGCCATTGAATTCCCACCGCTTACTCAACCATTTGAAGTAATACTTTTATCATGCTATACTAAGGAATAACACAAACTTGATAAATCAATTTCCCTTATGATAGCCTTTCCGACTGTGCAGTTTGTAAATGTTTTAAGGAGCAATGTTTTTATTTTAACACTTTTGATATGAGCTAGAACGAATATAAGTTATAAGGTGATGTAGCACAGTTTGGAAATAGATTTGTTTTATCGATAATTTCATACTGATAAAGCTACTCCTAACTTTTTAATTTTAAAGGTTTACTGATTTGATGGAAACAAAATATTTCAGCTTTTGATACGCTCAAATTATATTCAGCCATTTGATATAATTGCAATCGACGATATCATCTATGATGCCGCACTTTGTGGTAAACCGTATCTTTTAAATAAGTTTTTCAAATAGAGAAAAAATCTTTTATATAAATTAGTCTAAAAAATCCAATCAAAATTTTATTACCATGTGAATGCAATAAAGCCTGTATAATGCACAAGTACGATTGGATTAAAAATATCATTTGTTAATTGGTTAAGTTCGAGAGTTCGGACAAATCAACAACATG